CTCTTGCCCTCTGCTCTGGTCCTACCCTGACTTGTTCCCAGCTGCTTGCTGATGGCCACTGCTCCCCAGGCTCCTATGGGATGCAGCTGAACACAGACACTCCAGAGGGGAGTGTTGAGAGTGGCAGGCATTGGCAAGTAGGGAGCCTTCCGCATCTGTGGGGTCTGTGTTCTGGGATTCAATGCAGCACAGGTTGAAAATATTCAGAGGAAAAATTGTGTGTGTGTTGACCATGGACAGGCTTTCCCTTGTCAGTATTCTTCCAACACTACAATGTTCAACTCTAGAGTATTTGCATCATATGAGGTACTATCAGTTATCTAGAGATGATCTACAGTCTGTGGGGGGAAGTGCGTAGGTTATAAGCAAATACCATGCTGTTTCACATCAGGGCCTTGAGAGAAAAGAGGGGTGGTACTGCTCGTGGGGGGGGGGAGGAGCCCTCCCTGGAAGTGGTGATGGACACCGAGACACAGGCACGCAGGGGAGGGATTGGCCAGACGACGGGGGAGGGAGGACTTGTGCCCTGTACCGGGGTCATGGACAGCAGTGACATGACTTTGGGTACAGCATAAAGGGCTGGGTGATGGGAGTCAACAGAAGCTTAGGTAGGGTCCCCTGTGACCAAGGAGGGACTAGAGAGGACAGACTCAGCAAGGGGTGGAGGCATGAGGAGCGAGGCTCAGGATGGCCACCCTGCTCCTTCTCATTTGAGAAATGGGATGCCTGGGGTCGATTCCTAGGCTGGGAGCACAGGACAGGGGAGGGGCTCCTAGTGGACCTGGTGCTCCACAATGGGACAATGACATCACGATGTCATAGCAGGGAAGCTGCTAAACAGACCCTTAGAATGATCCTTCTGTTTTACTGGAATGGAACCACCATTGGACCCAGTCATCCCACTCCTAGGTTTATACCCAAAGGACTTAAAATCAGCATAATATAGTTATGTGATCACATCAATGTTTAGAGCAGCTCAATTCACGGAAGCTAAACTACAGACCAACCCAGGTGCGCTTCAACAGACGAATGGATAAAGAAACTGTGGTTTCTGTGTGTGTGTGTGTGTGGGGGGGGGGGTGTATTATGGAATATTACTCAGCCTTAATGAAGAATGAAATTATGGCATTTGCCAGTAAATGGATGGAACTGGAGAATATCATGCTAAGCAAAATAAGTGAGTCCCAAAGAATCAAAGGCCAGATGTTTTCTCTGATATGTGGCGAATGCTAATTCACAATAAGGAGGGGAGAATACAGGCATTAGAGGGAGTGAACGGATGGGAGGGGGCCTGGGGGTAGGAACGATAGCAGAATGAATCAGACATTATTAACCTATGTGCGTATATGACTTCATGACCTGTGTAACTCTACATCACGTACAACCAGAAGAATGAGAAGTTATACTTCATTTACGTATAGTGTGTTAACATGCATTCTACTGTCATGTGTACCTAATTAGAACAAATAAAAAGAATGATATTTCTGTTTTTTGAACATCCTTTTTATGAATTTGGCTACAGAGTTAAGTCACTTAATGTTTTCCTTAAAAGTAACTTTTAGACAGGGTTGGGGACCCAGAGCAGGAGTAGAACACTTGCCTAATATGCACGAGGCCTTGGACCAGAGATCCCTAGCACCAGAGAAAAATAATTTTTAGACATATTTTAAAATAAACCTCTGCTTATCTCAAGCAATTTTGCCTGTGAGATATCACAAGTTAGATATGCAGGCATCGCTAAGCTGTTAGGATTACTGAAGTATAGGAGTCTGGGTGCTTACACCTAAGAGCACCCTGCATGCCTCACCCTTGGCTGTGACCCTGGTCTTTTGGAAATAGATGGATTTGGATCCCAGGCACCACGATGCCCATTTTCAGTAGTGCTTTTTTATGCTTGGACATTGGGTACTTCTCCGAAAAATGAGAATCCCACAACATGCACATCTGAACATCTGAAATTGTTTTTTTTTTGTTGTTGTTGTTTGTTTTGGGTGCTGGGATGGAACCCAGGGCTTCTGGAATACCAGGAGATCACTGTCCCACTGAGCCACACCCTCATCCCCTGTTGTTCCATGTTCACACATATCTTTTTTTTTTTTTTCTTGGTTCCTCTGTTTGCTGGGTGTTGTCTAATACAGCAGGCGAAGGACTACTTGGTAACAGTGCATGGGGAGGGGGTCCATCAGCGACTGTGGAGTGGGGTCTTCTCTAAGATATGACCCCAAGCATTTGGCCCGCCTTCAGAGACCTACCCAATTTGCCGAGTATTCTGGAGAAGATTGTGAAAGCAGTGTCCTAGCTGCACGGCTGTCTCCCTGAAGATTTTGACTCAGTAGTCCCGGACAGACTGACAGTCCACATTTGTAGCAAGCTCCCAGAGGGGCCGAGCACCAGGAAATGAGCCCTGTTTCTCTGCCTGGGCTTTTAGCTCCATGTCTCCCCGAGATTAACATCAAAACTGCATGTTTACCTCCCACAGGTTTGAAAACTTCACAGTGAATTCAATACTGTGCATAAAACCAAGTGAGCTCCACCCAGTCTGCACGTCTCTCTGCTGTGGCCTACCCATCTCTACACCTGGAAGTGGCAGGGTGGTCCCATCACACCCAGGACCTGGGAAAACTAATTAGAGGTGGCACCCAGAGTCCCACAGTGCCCACACCTCCTTCTGCATCCCTCTCCGTGCGGGACCCACTGCCCACATATCCTCTTAGGTCTTTGCTTTACCTGTCACCAAAAAAGAAACCTTGCCAGGTAACCTCAGAGGGCTTTTCCAATGAGACCAGGGCGATTTTTTTTTTTTTTAGTTGTTGATGGACATTTATTTATTTGTTAATTTATATGCGGTGCTGAGAATGGAACCCGGGGCCTCACACATGCTAGGCACGTGCTCTACCACTGAGCCACAACCTCAGCCCCAAGACCAGGGACTTTTGATCTTAAATCATCTTTTCATCTTTTCCAGCACGTGGTCAAAGGACCTCTGGCCTCCTCCCTAACTTCCAGGAAAGAGGCCTCAAACGGTATTTGCACTGCCGGTGCCCACGCCAGCCGGCTTTCCAGACCAGGCTGTACCCAGGCCCATCAGGGACACAGACCCTGCCAAGGACAGTGGGAAGAACCACAGGCTAGACCAGGGCCACCGGAACTTCATTTGTGAAGGATCAGATAGGAGGTCTTTCGGGTTCGGTGAGACACTCGCGTCCCATCCCAACTCATCCCCACCTCTGCGCCCACAGGTGAGATGTGAAGGGAAAGGTTCCCTGTGTTCCAGGAAGGCTCCATTCACAAACAGCAGGCATCGACTCGGTTTGGTCCACGTGCTGTAGTCTGCTGCAGCATTTCTCAGACTTTGAACAGCACAGAGATGTCTGTGCCAGGAGAGTCCCAGCCAGACCCACCATGGAGCCTGGGGATGTGGGGGACGGAAGGGACCCAGGCCAGCAAGGTCCACCAGGCCACCCTCCTGGGCAACCGCTGTGAGGCAGGATGGCTCTCCAGGACTCAAAGCGCACCCAGGGGGGATGGCGGGGGCCACAGCATGCACCTGAGGCGAGGCCTCGCTGCTGTGGCCACCTGCCCCGTCACCAAGCCTCCTGGGGTAGGACGACCTTAGAGCACTGCAGCAGAGCACTGACGGAGACACTGGGACAGCTCAGAGACAGACAGCGTGGGGACAAACCTGAGACCCAGTTTGAGATGAGGACTGAATGTACTTTGAGAGACTCTGATATTAGGGTATGGATTCATCTTTCTGTAGGAACTTAATGGCATGGATCGATTTTTTTTTCCAGGAGCATGTGCTAGTAAATAAAATAACAGTTTAAAAACCAGTCTAGCTGGCAGGCACAAATCCCAGGGGCTCGGGTGGCTGAGGCAGGAGGGTTACAAGTTCAAAGCCAGTCTCAGCAACTTAGCAACACCCTGTCTCAGAATTATAAATAAATACATAAATAAAGGGCTGGGGATACGGCTGAGTGTTAAAGCAAAACTGAGTTCAATCCCTGGCACCAAATACACACACACACACACACACACACACACACACCTGCCCCCCCCTGCCCCCCCCCCATGCATCGAAGCCTGTGTTCACTCCACTCATCAACTGTGTGTCCTCCAGCAAATAATTTGCCAGAAACCCTTTACCTCTCCCTGATCACCCCCCCCCCCGTTTTTTCCTCTGCCTTGGTACTTGGGGACCTTTTGCTGGGCCACTATAAGGAGTGGAAATAGTGTACTTGGAATCTGCAGCTCAGGATCAGCCTGAGAGCAGCTGTTAGGTAAATGTCAAACAGGGCACGAGAGCTACCTGGGTGGCTTCCCCACCCAAGAAGGGACCTCACCTGTGGATAAATCCATGTGTCGCTCTGTGTGGGCGAGGGGTGCCTAGCTGAAACATTCTGGGCATGCTGGAGGGTGTTTCTGGATGAGATTAGCATTTGACTCACAGACTAAGCAAAGCAGATGGGCCTCCTGGGTGGAGACCTCACTTCATCCATTGAGGCCTCAATGGAGAAAGGGGAGAAAAGTCCGAGGGATTCTGCTCCTTTCTTTCCCGCCTCCTTTTCTGAGCAGAGATGCTGCATTTCCTCTTCCCACCCTTGGACTGAGGTCCACCTCTCCAGCACCCTTGGTTCTAGGCCTTTGACTTGAGCCAAACACCACCACAGGCTTCTCTGGGTCTCCCATGGCTCCGAGGCAGCGGATCTTGGGACTTCTCCTTAATAGAGCAGTCGGGTCCCCAGCACTCACTCCTTGCTCTCTGTACGTCCTCTCGGTTCTGGTTCTGTGTTTCTGGAGAACCCTGACCAACGGGGCGTGATGGGGAAAGATGGTCCACATGTGTGCCTGGCTGGGTCCTGGCTTTCCTCAGACCATGTGGCCCTGTGCTCTGCCCAGGTTCTTGGGGCAACAGAGGGGAGGAAGGAGGGAGGAAGACACACTGTGGAGGGCAGAGGCACCTGCTGCAGGGCTCACGGGGCAGCGCGTGGTGGCCGAGCTGTGTGGGAGGCAGTGGGCAGGAAACCGAGAGGGCTGGGGGCTAGGAGGACAGGGAGAATGCATCTCCTGTTGGTCACAGTCCTTCTGGGTGCTCAGACACCAGCAGACCAGGCTTGGGTTATGCTGAATACCCTTCCGTGATCGAGCCGTCGGAATCAGCACCCAGTCCATGCACAAGGGCCCTTTCCTTAGACCACAGTGCAGCCACCACACCACAGACCAAATGCTGAAGCCTTCATACAGCATAGAATGGAAACTTCCAGAATGGTGAACAGCTTGGTGAGCAGGTCAGTGTGGGCCGGCACTCCAAATGTGGGCGTCCTTGGAAAGGAGAGGTCGGGACTACTTTTGTATCTTTTCTCAACAAACTCATTCATTCTTAGAGATAACTGTATGCAAACCAGGAACAAGGGGCTTCCTGAATCACCATGAAGTCCTGGCTTTACTTGGAAGGAGAGGATGTCCCCACAGAGGGATGGGGAGACTTTGATTCCCCAGAAGAAGAGCTGATTGATCTTTGCATGTCTGACCAGTGTGGCTGGAAAGTGCACGTGAGGTCCTCTGGCCCCACTGAGGGTGTCCTTGCCCCAGCTCTGGCTGCCAGCAGGGGCCTACCTTGGCTCCCTCCTCAGTGCCATCCTGAATCCTGAAACCTATGATGTCACAGGCATCCTTGTTCTCTGAAGCCACCTGCTGTGGCCTGAATGTTTGTATCCCCCCACCCCCAAATTCAGGTGTTGAAATCTAAACCCCCAGCATGATAGTATGAGCAGGTGGAGGCTTTGGGAGGTCCTCAGGTGGAGGGTGGAGGCCCACAGGTGGGATCAGTGTCCATGTAAGAGGTAGCCCCAGAGCGGCCTGGTCTCTTCCGTCATGAGAAGACTCAGTGAGTAGACACCGTCTTTGAATCAGGAAGCAGATTCTCACCTGATGTGGAACGTGCTGACACCTTGTCCTTAGATTTCTCAGCTTCCAGAACTGTGAGAAATACCTTTCCATTGTTCTGCTGTAGCAGCCTGAACAGACTGACCTCCCCTCCTACCCTCTCCAGGCCTCTAGCCAGGGACCGTTCTGTGCTTTTGTGGGTTCACATAATTGACTGGACTTGCCTGGATGACCCAGGATAATGTCCCTATTTTCAAGTCCCTGCCCCGGTTACACCTGCAGAGTCTCTTCTGCCATCCAATAGAACACATTCCAGGTTCCAGGTCCCAGGTCCCAGGGCGTGGGCATCTTTGGGGCATGCCACCTCAGACTGGGGAGAGAGAGCATTTGTTGGGGACAGGGAGCCCAAACCACCACAGCTTCTGCAGGAGCCCCGGCACCTTCCACTGCAGGGGGAAGGAGGGCCCTCCATGGAGCCTGCTCTCCAGATGTGATGGAGGAACTGTGACTAACAGCGCTTGTTTTGATTTGTGCTGTCCCTGAAGAATGGACATAATCGGATGGATTTTTCAGTGAAAATACCACTAAGACCATGGGCTAGATCCCTAGTGCACCATGTCTTCAAAAAAATGGTCATTTTGAAATGACAGGCACCTTTCCTTAAGATATCCTAGAAACCCAGAGTAAAGTCACGGATCTGCGAGAACACCCGAGTGGACGTTCTATGTGAAGAGGAATGAGAGGTGCTCACCCTGGGGAAGCATCCCAGTCTTCAGTGTGTTCGTTTTGATAAGATTCACTTTAAAAAGGCTCAGAACCCACAAGCTCCACGTGTGGTCAAACTGCTGCAGAGAGCAGGGGTGACGTACGAGGTGAAGGAAACAGAAGTCTTGTGGTTCCGTAGCTGGTTTCATGATGAGTGATGATATTTCTCTAGAAAAACTGCAATCCGTTATGCCATGATGGTGCACAGCTTCAATGCCACCGTGGCCTGGCACCTGACTTCAGGGATGTGCTGACTTTCTGTTCCAAGTTCAAGGTCACAGCCCAGTGGTGTGTGTGTGTGTGTGTTTGGGGAGTATCTTCCAGTTATCCACTACAGGCTGTGGGTACAGCTCAGTGGTTGAGGGCTTGCCTAGCATGTGGGCTCCATTTCTAGTCCTCCTCCTCCCCAAAAGACACCCTGTTAGCCACTGCTGTGTAATAAATTGCCCAAGATGTAGTGATGTACAGACACCATTTCATTGTTCTGAGCTCCATGAGTTTTGTGGGACTAGTCAGACAACTCTGCTGGTCCCCCTTGGGATCCTCCCTGTTAGTGGTTCAATGGCAACAGGGCTGATCACCAGGGAAATGCTGTGCCTCTCTTTCCCTCTGTAGTCCTAAGGCCTCTCTGTGCAGTCTCTCTAGCAGGTAGAACGACTTTTCAAATCAGGAATTGTCAAACTTTTCTGTCAAGAGCCAACTATTTGAGCTTTGTAGGTCATGTGGTCTTGTCACCCACGTTTCTCTCTCTCTTATTGTGACACAGCCATACACAGTGCAAGAAGGTGGTCATGGCCGGCCAGGATGACACTTTATTCACAACAACAGGCAGTGGGCTAGATTTGGCCTGCTTCCAGGGTGGCTCCAGAGTCTCAAGGGCACAAGAGCAGTCACCCCCTCTGTGAGCACCCAGCACAGTCCAGGCAGAGTCACCAGCGCACTCGGCTGGCTAAAGTAGGTTACAGGTTCATTCCAGATGCGACACTGGGGGAGCAGGGGGATGGGTGTGGGGGAGGAAAGCATTTCCTCTACCCTCTTAGGTTCTGTGTCTGTGACCCTGTCAATTAAATCGGTAAGAGATAAACCAGAGAGAATTTTACTTGAAGTTAATATTTTATCAACAAATATATATTAAAAAATTAAATCACATTTGATGTTAATAGTTTAATTCTACTTATCAGAGATATCACAGAAAAAGAAATGAAAACCCCAAGAAGCAGTTAGATCTGACACCTTCTTGGCCGTTTTAACAAAGTGGTATATTCTGGGGCGGCAAGTCCTGACCCCCTATCAGCAGTTCCAGAGAAGGGGTTATGAGGATTTGGGGGTTCACCGGGGCTGTCCTTGGGGAAACACTCCTACGGGGGAGTGAGAGATATCAGATTCCACTTGGCTTTTGTATCGGTCTTGAAGGAGACATTAGTGCATGCGTTCTTATTTCAACCAAGGAACAGAATTCACCTTTTGAAATGGACATTTTACAAGCTTGAGGTACATTTCACTCGTGAGCTGCTAGAATGACAGTACCAGGGCTCAGTTGCTTTCTGCTTCTGCTACTCCACCAAGGTGGAGAAAAGCCTCATTCCAAGGATTCAGTGGAGGGACATCTGTCGCCTCTCTTTCATTGTTTTTACTTCTAAATACAGGAAACAGAGATGTCATGTGACAATGAGGAGGCAGGGATGTAGTTCCCGGCCAACGTGAAACACGCCATGTTGGGGTTGGACTGGCTTTGCAGTCCATGTTTCTTGGTTTTCCTGTTACCCAGGAGCCCAGGGCTACTGCCCTGATAAAGGTGTGCTTCAGTACCTGCAGGCAGAGGCATTATCTGTGATGCAGCTTCTCCTGCCCACCCAGGACACTGCCAGGAACCTCCTCCACAATCCCATAGGAGCCTGTTACATAAAAATAACAGGAGGCCGTTGTTTTGGATGAGGCTCCTGCCCTGGGCCCCATCAGACCAGTCAAAAAATCAAAATGGTGTCACTCATGCTAAAGTTCCCTGTCACCAGGCTGAAACTCAGCTGTTCTCTGACTTTCCAAGAACTCAGGATTAGAGAGATAACAGCCAAATTCCCCAGACCAGCAGTTTCAATTGGCATGATACTGAAGTTCTCTGTGCCTTAATCCTTACACGAAAATCCACCTGAAATAACCTGATGTGGACAGACCAGTTATTTTCCTATTGTTCTCTCCCCCTGTCCCTGGCTTACCAGGAAAGTAATTTTGAAATGAAGATTCCACCTCCTGAGTTTTCTTTTTCTTTTTTTAATTTTTATTTTCTTCACCTCTTTTCTATCTATAAAACCAAACTCTTCTGCACAACCCATCAGGACTGTATTTTGCAGAACGAAGCATTGCTTGATTCTAGAATTGAAAATAAACCAATTAAGATCTTTCATCAATGGTTGTACTTTTGTCCTTGGAGTCCTCCTGCTTTCTCCTGTTTATTCTAGGCCTGAGATGATCCCCCCCCACACACACCCTGCAACTCCCTTCCCCATGAAGGTGATCTTGCAGATCCCAATGCGAATCCCCTCCTCCAGGAAACCCTTCCCCATTCGCTTTAGTTGGATCAATTGCTTCTTCCTGGAAGGAAGGAAGGACGGAAGGAAGGGAGGGAGGGAGGGAGGGAGGGAGGGAGGGAGGGAGGAAGGGAGGAAGGCAAGCATGCTGTGATGTTTCCTGGAACTGTTTCCTGGATGCCCCAGAAACACATTTCCATGTGAACTTGCTAGAACACTCTGACTTTCACAGAGTCCATAAAATATAACTGAAAATTAAAAGTGATGTTCTCTGATCCTAATGATTCATCTTTTGCCTGTGAGCAATGCTGAACCTGGTAGAACCGTTTCTGAAATATGTCCCCAAGTTGTTTGCTCTCATTTCTACTTAGGACGTTTATGTGTGTGTGCGTGCGTGTGTGTGTGTGTATGTGACCTGTAAACCATCAAGTCAGCATCGAAGGGTGCCTGTACCCACCGCTCTTCAATTTCCCAAAAAAACTTTCTCAATGGATCATTAAAAAGTTCTCTCACCTTAAAAAAAAAAAGAGATCCAGAAAGGCAGATGGCCAGGAGCAGTTTGGCCTTCCTCTGTGCAGGTGGTAAATGGCCCTTTTACGTGGGACGAGAGTGCACTCATGTTCTTCCTCATCCTGTTCTGTTGGTTTGGTTTTGTATGTGATGAGGTTTGACCAAAGCTGCCTCCCTCTCTGCCCTGAGCTGGTGCCTGGACTGAAGCAGAGAGCACCAAGGCACAGAAGGGACTCAGAGCTCTCTAGGATGGAGGGACATCTGCCTCCAGACTCCTATATCATCCCCAGGCTGGGGATGGCAGGGGTAAATATGCCCTAGTGGCAGCAATGTTCCCTTCCTGCAAAGACTCAGGCACCCCTATGGGACATAGGTCATAGGACTCTCTGAATGGGGGAACACCACAAAGGGTCCCTGTCCTTTGAGGGCACAGCCTGAACACACATGGCCTTTCCCATGGAGCCACTGCTCCCTGGGCATACCCTCTATGTCCACTAACCTTCTGCATGTGCCCTTCTCTTCTTCCACCAGATGCAGCCAGAGAATGCAACCTGCCTTTCTGGAGATTTTCCTGCCCACAGGGTCAGTGCTCCCAGAAGCCCCCCGGGCAGGAGGTGGCTGCACGCGTGGTTTGCGGACATGGTAGGCGACCTGTTACAGTGAGTTTTTTCAAAATGTCATTAGGACCCACAAGTGGGACATGATGTAGTGAGCTGGGCGTGGTGGTAGACATCTGTAACCCCAGACGCTTGGAAGACTGAGGCCGGAAGATCGTGAGTTCAAAGCTAGCCTCAGCAACTTAGCAAAATCCTGTTTCTCAATAAAAAAGAAAGAGGGCTGGGGATGTGGCTTAGAGGTTGAGCACCCTTGGGTTCAATCCCTGGTACAAAAAAAAATAATAATCTATTGAGATGTAACTGGCATTTAAAACAAAATGGAGCAAGGTTTTAAAAATAGCGTACATCATGGTAAGCTTCTTTACCTTCTAAGGTGTCCCCTTTCTCCATCATGGTATGTACCTTACTCTGCCCCGATGCACACTTCATGGGGACCCATCCTGCTGGGAGGCTTCGGGCGTCTCTGGATGCTCGCCTTTCACTGTCTGTGACGGCTGCCTTTCTTTCTGTTTCTTCTTCCTGGACCTCACAGTAGCCAGCTGCTTTTCCGCTGATTCTTTAAATGCTGGGTTCTCAGGCCTCCTCCTCTGAGGCGTTCAGCTTTGCCTGCTCATCCTAGTGACACGCACAGTTGACCCCCATGACTCATCTCTTGGTTGTCATCCCACCTTTCTCTTTCTCTGAAGTGCCAGACCCATATATACAATACATATGTGCTGCATATGCTAAATAGACGTGTGTACACGTACGGATCTCAGCTCTCCCTGTATTCCAGGTATCAGTCCTGTGTGTCTCCGAGACATCTTATCTTACTCTCATCACGGTCTTTTCAGTTCCTTGATGCTGTTGTTTGTAGCACAAGAGTTTGTGGTCGGGCAAGCTCCAATTTATACTTTTTTCTCTCTCATTGCTATGCTTTTGGTGATAGCTAAGAAACGATGGTCTAACCCACCATCATGAAGATTTATTCCTCCAGTGTTTTCAGAGTCTTGTGGCTTGGGTTCTCCCCCTTGTTAGATGATCCACTTTGAGTTGCTTTTGTAAATGGGGGAGGTAGGAGGCTCCACTTCATTCTGATCATCCTGCGACACCTGCAGTGGGTTGTCTTGATGCTCTCGTTGGAAACCCTTTGACTATACCTGTGAAGACTCTCCATTTTATTTCATGAAATTACTTGTCTCTCTTCACACCAGTACTCATTCTCTTGGTTACTGTAGCTTTTGAGAAAGGCATGAAGTATCCAAGGTTGTATTAGTTGTTGCATCTAAAAGTTCAAAGGAAATTAGATACAGAACAATCAGAGAAGTGGGTCTCTCTTATCTAATGAGAACCAGCTGTCAGTAATCCCCAGGACTTGAGATCCCAGGGGTTACTCTGTGTCTTGTCACCATGCCCACTTACCACCCCCTGGCCATGGGAGAGGCTCCCTGCTGGGCACCTGGAGATATGCTGTGCTCAGGAGGTGAGGTGACTTTCCCGTGGTCACACAGCTGAGAAACTCTGGGATCAGAGCTCGAAGGCTGCCTGGGTCTAGAACCTCTGCTTTCCACTGCTTCCTTCTGAACTAACGCTGACCTGCAGGAGTCACTGGGAGGTGCCAGGCACACTGCCCTGGTCAAAACATTTCTTCGATGTGGTAAAATAGACATGACATAAAACTTGCCATTTGAATCATTGGAAGCAGACAAAGCAGTGGCCCTGAGTACATTTTATTTCATTGTTACTCCATTGCCATGTTTCTCCAGCACTTTCCGTCTTCTCAAACTGAAGCTCTGCTCCTGTGAAACACAAACTCCCCATCTCTCCCCCAGTCCCTGGTACTCACCATTCTATTTTCTGTCTCTATAGATTTAACGACTCTAGTTATCTCATTTAAATGAAATCACACAGTATTTCTCCTACTGTGACTAGTTTCATTCACTTACAGTCGTATCTTCCACGTTCATCGGCATTGTGGCATCCATCCAAGTTCCAATCCCTTTTTCAAGACTGAATAATATTCCATGTATGTATATGTCACACTTCATTTATCCACTCATTGGTCAATGGGCATGTTTTATTTCCACTTCTCGGCTATTGTGAATGATACTGCTGTGAGGCTAAGTGTGCAAATAGTTGCTCAAGTCCTTGCTTTCAATTCTTAGCTGGATCATGTGGTAAATTCTATGCTTAATTTTTTGAGGAATTCTCAGAGTTTTAAAATGTCACTTTTGAAAATGATTTCAGAACTGACAGTGTTACTTTGGGTTGCACTCAACAGAAGAAATTTTTGTCTTCCTGAGGCTAGTTTTTCTGCCTAAAGAAAATAAATAAATAAATAAATAAGCAGTTTTGGTGAAGCGGGCTAACTTGGAGAATGTGACAGTGGAACAAAATCTGCTTTTGTGGTGTGCTTCCTAGTTAAAGAAGCAGTGCTTCCTCTGTGGGACCGTTAGTTCCAATAAAAATGTTAACAGGACTGAGAGGGAGACAGGCCTAAGAACCAGAGTAAGTCCCACCCCAGGCTCTGAGGACGTTTGCAGGACAGAGAATCCAGGGCATTCACCCAGCATTGGGTGGCACAGAGTGGTGCTCAGCAGGTGCCAGCTCCTGTTCCATCTTATTGCTGAAGGAGGAAGGCACAGGCCTAGGGATTTGGGGGCAGGGACCTATTTTGTTAGTGGTAACAGCTGGAGATGCCAGAGGCTGTCATGAGGGTCCTTAATCCAGGTTGGACGTCAAGGGCCAGGCACCAAGATGGCCCCATGGCTTGTTGTCTATGTATGATCAAGAGACTTGCTAAAACCCAAAGATGAACATGGCTGTGGACAGTGAAACATGGAGCCCCTCTCTCTTTCGTTCCCTCCCTCTCTTCCTTTCTCTCCTCTCCATCTCTTCCTTCCTTCCTTTCTTCCTTATGAATAGTACTTAGTGAGTTTTCTGAGTACTCAGTGTTTAGTATGTGCCCAGCTTGCCAGATTGAGATATGTCAATGAAGAACCAAATAAAAATCCCGCCTTTAAGGAGCTTACATCTTGTGAAGTAAACATCAGAAGTCCAGGGAATTTGATCTTCTATTTTACTGATGACAAGAACATATGTTAAGAAAACTTCAGGGCTTTTGCTAAAATAAACAACAGAATTAAAAAACAGAAAGAAGTGGCTGGAAACAAATTCAGCATACCAAAAAAAAAATGACATTCTTTTTAAATAACAACTAGTTTTTTCATGAGAATAAAATATCTCCCCAAACATAAAATTTCTAAAAACGTCTTTTTTTCACCAAAAATATGCAAAACACACCAGAAGAAAGATATAAAATATCTTTGTAGGGTGTAAACTAGTTACTGAATACATGGAGAGGCATCCTGGGCTTATGAAGAGTAGTGCTTAGAGCCTAAAAACACAAATCTTTGATAAATACATGTGCAAACATCTTATATCTAATTAAATTTTACATTTATTATTTATATGTATAATATACTGAAAACATTAATAATTTTTATATATTATTTTACAGAGGTGATGCAATTCCCAGTATAATTTTAATAGGTTTTATTTGAATTAGCAGAAAGTATTTTAAATTTAGTAAAGAAAAATAAATATCTAAAAATCGCTAAGAAAATTTTAGACAAGGAATATAGAGTTGGGTATCTTGCTCTATCTAAAGTAAAACAATATAACAAGGTAAAACAATATAATGTAAGATAATATAATATAAAAAAATAATATAAAATATGACAGAAACGATATGATACTACTGTAACCCGACAGAATAGAATTGGCAGGAAAAAAATGAAACAGATCAGTTGACTTGAGATAGGTCCAAATGTGTACAGAAATCTAATATATGTTCAACCCAACATTGTAAAAATGTTTTATTGTGTACATTTGTGGCTTAGCAAATGATGCTATGGGATACATATAAAAAGTAAAATCATTACTGTAGTGAAGCCGATTATCACATAATCTCACATAATTACTTTCGGGACATGAGCAGTAAAATCTACTTATTTAGCAAAAATAAGTACAATTTTAGTTTAAAAAGATTATGCATCAAAAGCAACATTTTGTTTAGCTGGCACGCAGTGGGAAGACACCTGCCATTTGACATGTGTATTGTTAATTCTAATTTGTTCACGCACACACACACACACCTCTTCTAAATCAGGTCGAGGATTAGGGTTGGGGACTCTGGGGATCTCACATAAATAGAATCATTCAGTATTTTTTTTTTTTTGAGTATTGACTTATTCCATTTAGCACAATATCATCAAGGGTCAGTCATATTGTAATATATGTCAGAATTTCTTTCCTTTTTAAAGACAAATAATATTTCACTGTTACATCCATACTACATTTTATCTATCAGTTCTGCTGATATAAAGTTGATTGTAATAATGTACTTTATTTAATCCTGTAAACCCCACATATTATAATTCCAATGTGTAATCAGTGTAACAACTGAGGTGCTTTTGTACCCAAGCTTTGGGGTCTGGTGTGCATTTTATACCTAGAATATGTCTCAATCCAGAATCAGCCAGTTCAGCTATGCAGTAGCCATCTGTGGCTGGGGACTACCACTTTGGACACCCAAGGTCCTAGATTGCCTAGAATTAGCATTGCCTCCTAGGGGTGACGCTAGTGTCCTTGTGAGAGTGTGGTCTCCCGGTGGGCACTTCCTGCTAACACAGGAAGCTTTGGCTGTGGCACCTACTATGAGATCAAGGTGGGTAGAATGGGCAGCATCTGACGTATCTTGCCTCCTCCTGAGGTTGGGAGGCTGACACCAGCATCATCCTGGTGACCGATGTGCCTGAGGTTCAGAGGCTCCCTGGCAGCATCTGGAAGGCAGAGGTGAGGGGAAACTGTTGTTTTTGCTGGCCAACATACATGAAATTGGTTTTCTATGGCAATGTGGGTGCAGATCACCTCGTCCATGTATGGACTTCACTGGGGAGAGGGGAGTAGGCAGCTGGCTTCTGAAAGATATCCCAAGCCCTTTCAATGCCTCTTGTGCATCCTACCTGATGGGGCTCAATTGGATTCTGTTTTTGTTCAGGTGAACAAGAATGGATACCGTGATGGATTGGAAACCACCTTTGCTACATATCTGCACACCAAGTGAACAGGTCTGTGAAAATACTGACAAGACAATGACATTCCACGAAACCTGCCTATTGTGTATGAGGATCTTGGACACACTTACAGTTAAAATATGCCTCCTTGGCTTAGCAAGCCTTTGCCACCAAATTGTTAATAAATATAATGATAAATAAATACATTTCTGCTTAGCTTGCTCTAGGCAGCTTCTCCAATTACACGAAGTACCAAATATTAGGTCATAATTGAATTTTATAGTAATTTGGGAGGAAAGAAGAGCTTAGGGAAGAGTCTATAACTCATGCCAACTTGGAGAATTGATGAAAGAGATGGAAAGAAAATTGATTATGGCTTTAAAAGGACATTCATTTTATGGAATATGTTTAAAGGATAATTTCCCATATAGATTATAAAGCAATTTAGGAAACTGGTCCATAAATATTTTAGTAATAAATTCTTTAAGAATAAATTATAGTCTGTGCCTCCCTCCCCCTCTGGCTGTCAGTCACTGAACTGAGTTGTCTTGATATTTTATTTAAATGTGATCCACGTTTGTCAAGCCTGTGTGTTTCAAGGATTGTGTTGGAGTCTCTTGAGAGATAAGCACATGCTAAGCAGTCCTGTTAATGTAATATTTATGCTAATGCAAACCCTCTGAAGCCAGTTGGAACATCCCCTTGGACATTGTGGGATGAGTCTCAGCATAGCTGTATTTGACAATGATTTCTGCTGATTTTTTTTTGTTGTTGTTGTTAACTGACAAATTTGTGAGAGTTAGTACAGACTGGAGGAATAAGACACTCATCTTTCTGCCCTGATGTCTTCCCTGATGACTGTGACCCCAAGACAGATATAAATACATACAGGACCAAGTGCACATCATACACCCTTACACACATTACTTACCTACAGATATACACATATTCACACACACATATGCACAGGTACGTCTTCATACAAAACATGAACACACATACACACATAGAAATACCTGCGTCCATACTTGCCTCCGTATATATAGATACAGAAATATTGTTCCACTTATCATGGGGCCACATCCCAATAAATCCATAGTGTATCGAAAATATCCAAAGTCAAAAGTGCATTCACTACAATGAAACTCCGGAACATCACGGCTCAGCCTTGCCTACCTTGAACTTGCTAAGGATTCTTAGCCTACAGTTGATCAAGACAATCTACCACAAAGCCCATTCTAGAGCAGAGTGTGGAGGATCTCATATGATTTCTCAAATGACTGTCCTGAAAGTGAAAAACAGAATGGTCTTGTGGGTACACCTTCATCAAAAAATGGTTGAGTAGAGCAATTGTAAGTGGGGGACCACCTGTATGCACAAACAGATGGTACAGCAGAAACACACCCGTGTAAGCTGCGACCACCTGACAAGAGCCACTTAGAGGAGGAAAACCGTGAGTTCAGAGGTTCAGGCCATGATTAGGAAACTCCATAACTTCCTAGCTCTGGGCCTGAGAAGAGGCAGAACTCTTCTAGGCTTCATTTCAGAATGTGAGGCTGGTGGCAGAGACAGGTCCTCCAGGGTCACAATGAGAACAAAGATCACAGCCTGAAGAGTGCCATCCCTGTGCATGTCATTCAGTCATCAAAACAGCACTAGGAAGCTGACGGTGCTAGTTCACCATCTCATGGTCAAGGACATGGCATCTGTAGAAGCTCAAGGGCTTGCACTGGGTCACATGGGAGGGTGGACCCTGGCTCTGAGCTCCTGAATCATTTAGCTGGGCTGCTGCGGAGCCCTGATCCTGTAGGATCTGGGGGGGGATTTTGTTCAGGAGCCCAGAAGCTGACCTCATGGGCCTGAGCCGGGGGTACAGACTCCTGTGGCTCTGTCATTTAGTTTTGGTACATCCTCTACTTTAAACAAACCTGCCTGGTATGTACCTGTGAGACCAAATTTTTATTTGTATAAAATGTTGTCTAGGAATTGGGACAAGGTTGCTGGGGAGTAAGGCACCCCCTGGGCAATCATGCAAACCCAGGTTGAGCAGCAATTGGATGCCCCACTGGCTGGAGCCTCTGGTGCAGCGCATATTTCTACTTTTTCCTCTGTTTTTGGCTGGGGACCTTCTTAGAAGATCATGCATATTTTAAATAGTTCAGCAAAAGGTCTAACATGTTAAGGAATGTAAACAGCCAAGGGAGGGAGGGGACAAGGGCAGAAATGCAATCAGTATATTCCTGAACCTGAACGGGATCATTTGGAGACCATTATTGCCCCATACATGTCTAAAGAATGAATTACTGATTTTACTGTTAACATTTTTTAAAATTGAATTATGATGAGTGATTGAGTTCATAAATCTACCATTATTTCAGTCTTATTTCCCACACAACAAAAAAGACAAAAGAGAAAAAAAATGAAAAAGAATAAATCCTTAATGTTGCAGAGAAATGAAAAATTCAGTGATTGACATCAGAGCTTTGGAATGATTTCTGAAAGACAGGAGGCAGACGGAGATCAGATCCCACCAGAAACAATCTGGAACAAAATAAATGCAGAAGATGCCCGGAAGGCAGGAGGGTTGGGAAGGTCAGGTCCAAGGTCAGTGGAATGGAGAGTAGGAGTGGGGAAGCAGTAGGTATTGGCAAGGACTCAGGCACTGTATCACTCCTGGATCATCTAGGATGGATTCTTAAAACAAAAACAAAAACAAAAGAATGCACCAAAGAGGGGTGAGTGAATGAACTTTCAAAATGAGTAAAGATGCCTCGAGGTCACAAGGTGGTTGCCATAGCTCTAGATCTTCTATATTGTAGCATCACAAGCAGAAGGGGGAAAAGACAGCTTTGTTTCTGTTGGTAAATGCTGGACTAGATTTAATCTTGACTTATCTCCTAGATTAGGGATGTTGCTACCCACCCTAAAATAATTAGGGCGTGTGCTCAAAGAGCAGTGGTGTAGAATGACTGTTGGGATCGAAGTTAACGGTATCTGCCGTGAGACACCAAAGCATGATAAAACTGGAATAGCATGATCAACAAGCTTGATATATACATATGTGTAAATACATATATGCAGACTCATTTATTTTATGCCAAAGGAAACCGTATCTGCTTTTCAAACACCAATAGAACATTTACTAAAATTGTTGCTAAAGTAGGACATCTTGGTGAACTTCAAAATTCAAAAATCATATTAGTCACATTCCGAAGACACTGCAAAAAAGGAGGAAAAAAGGATGATATTGAGAGGCTAGAAAATTGTTCATTTCAAGATTTAAAAATACACATTCTATGGTTTCAAATGCTGTTTGCCTCTGACAAAACTCTTGTTGCAATTTGGTTCCTTAGTAGAGGAAAGGGCCCTGTGGGGAGAAAGAAAGGGAGGAGGGGTAGGTACTAGGGAACGATAGTGGCCAGATCATATTGCTATAGCGTGTGCACATTTCTCAGTATGTATAATACAAAAATAGGAAGGAAAAAAAAGAAATTCGGTCCCCTGTATAAGTGTGTTGCAAGGTCCTGGGGTCTCCTGAGAGATGCCTGGGTTATGGGAAGAGTCCTCATGAGCAGGTGAATGCCTTTCTTGAGTGTGTGAGCTCTTGTGGGGCTGGATTAGCTACCAGGAGAGCAGGTTGCTATAGAGGGAGGCTGCCCCTCATGGCCTCTCTGTTTCACGCATGCCCACTTGCCCTTCCACTTTCCACCATGAGTTATAGCAGCATAAAGCCCTTACTGGCACCACATTCTTGGACTTCCCAGTCTCTAGAACTGGGAGCTAAAATAAACCTCTTTTCTTTATAAATTGCCCAGTCTTATATAAACTGTTATAGCAACAGGCAAATCCTTTGAAATCAAAAGAAATCTAAAACTAACTCTATGCATTGTGGATCTGGAAATAAATGCCCGTGTGAGTCCCACATGGTGGAGGATGTGGACAAAGCAATCATTAGAGGAACCCTTGTAGCCTTCAATCCTGGTGTTAGAAAATAAGAGAGGCAGAAAAAATAAGAAGAAAAGAAACCCAAAGATAGTGGAAGTAAGGAAATGATAAAGTAAAAGTAAAAATCAGTGAAACAGAAACAAAAACAACAAAAGATAGTACTTTGAGAAAAAAACATAATTTAAACAAATCTGTGACTACTCTGAACAAGTATAAAACAACACCCAAAATACAAAACAGCAATAAGACACAAATGAAAGCATCAGAAATTAAAAACTGTCCATATCTGATTAGAATTGAACATAACTCTATGCTAGTACTTTTAAAACTTCAGATGAAAAATGGTGCTAATCCAAGGAAATAGGAAGGAGAGAAGAATCTCTCTCACGTAACACAGTCCAGACCTGCATCCAATAATGAAAAATGAAAAAAAGTTCATTAAGGGGAGAAATTATAATACAATGTTATTACATTTTACTTTCATTGAAAACACAAAAACAGGGGCTGGGGATGTGGCTCGAGCGGTAACGCGCTCGCCTGGTATGCGCGGGGTGCTGAATTGGATCCTCAGCACCATATAAAAATAAAATAAAGATGTTGTGTCCACCGAAAACTAAAAAATAGATATAAAAAAATTCTCTCTCTCTCTATAAAAAAAAGACAAAACATACATCCACTCACCAGTCTTTTAATGTAGTGTCAGAATTTTTTATTTGAAAACAGGCTTGTCAATTGGATCATCTTTCTTATATAGGCATACCTATAACTCACTGTCAACAATTTCCACAGAGGGAGAATACTAAGACATTTACTGTAATCTGATTGTGGGACCCTCTTGACCAGAGCTTCTTTAATTTTAAAGTGTGTGTAAATCTCTTGGGGATCTTGTCACAGGGCAGACTCTGATCCGTAGATGTGGAGGGGACTCTGACATTTGGCATTTCCATCAGACTTCCAGGTGATGCTGGGGCTCCTGGTCCATGGACCACGCTTTGAGTAGCAGCACATAGATGTTTATGATTCCTGGCACCACCCACTATCAGCCCATTTAATTCTAAGTCATTGATCTTGGTGGTTCAGCCCTATCTATTCCTACTAAAGCTTTCAACTTAGTCTTCACAGAAATAAAAACTCTCCTCCACTTATTCCATGGTTTACATGATACAGCATTAAGTTAAATGATTATGACAGGTGAACCTGTCATAAATAGATTCAGGAACAAACACAACTGGAAGCTGGTAAGCATTTACCTTCTGT